AGTTTTAGGTAATGTCCTACTTCACTGCCCTGGGACATCCAATATCTTACTGCTGTTTCAGATCTCCTCATATGAAATATTTAACCAACATTTCCCCACCCTCATCATTTTCTGTTAGATTCGTGAATATCCTTCTCCCTCCTGATGCTAAAGAGATTGCTACTCGCTTCCGTTGGTGGCAGCCACGACATGATGGCCTAGACCAGAATGACTGGGCCATTGACAATGTCCTCATCTCAGGCTCTGCCGACCAGAGGACAGTCATGCTGGACACATTCAGCAGTGCCCCAGTGCCCCAGCATGAGCGCTCCCCTGCAGATGCTGGCCCTGTTGGGAGAATTGCTTTTGACATGTTCATGGAGGACAAAACTTCAGGTGATTTCTTCACTAATGCTGGATGAAAGTACATTGAAATGCAACTGTACGTTTGTGGGGGGTGGGGGCGCTAATCACAAGTGAAGTCAGGCCCTTTCCGAGGTTCTGATGAGGTGCAGAGACCAGAGCATCATTCTTCAGTCTTCCTGTTTAACACTGTGTCTCATCTGTACTGTCAGATACATGTTTTAATAAATATCAGTTCATTGATAGGGTAATTGCGGGGGTAGGGTATTTTCATTTCTGTTTCCTATTTTCGACTTTGGATGGAAAAAAAAAATTTCCTGGCCTTTTGTGGCTGTCGGTGGTGGTGGTGGTGTGTTTGGATCAGGGCCTTACTCTAGTTCAGGTTGTCCTAGAACTCACCATGAATCTCATGCTGACCTCAAACTCACAGTGATCCTCCTGCCTCATCCTCCTGGTTCCTTTATTGACATCTAAGGGCAGAATGTTGTATTTTCTATGAGTCAGGCACATTTGCAATGGCATTTCATGTTTCAGATCATGTCTGGGGTTCCACTTGCTTCTCATTCTTCATCCTCAGCAGGGACCATTTAGTGATGCTGACAACCTGCAGGAACTGCACACCATACTCATCTGAATGCTTGTCATTTTATAACACTATAGTGAGCTTAAGGTGGTATCTTATATTAAGTGTGATTTTGCTACCCCATTTGTGTTGGTTGTACTACATAAAAAGCAGTGTGGTCAGATCCATGGGTGATGTTTGAGGGTCTGTCTCCACCTCACACTGTAAGTCTACCCAAAGTTGCAACAGCCAGTTAGACAGTAAGGCATGGTGTCTCATCCTGCTTAGCTCTACCGTCTTGCGCAAAAAATTATATGGCCAATTTTACCATAATGAGAACTTTCCAGAGAAACAGCATACCTTGAGGAAAATTTAATTTAGGAAATTTTAATAACTTAAAATACTTTAAGTTTATACTTTAAGTTAATACTTTTAATAACTTAAAATAGCAATATTTTATTGTAAAAGCAATAAATTGTGTTCAAGTCATGAAATTGAGAAAACACTGAAAACCATGGGAATGAAAATTAGACTCACTGGCAGATAACAATATCAGTATTTTTAATATTCTCTTAATGTTCTGTATTCCTTTAACAAACATTTTAACAAAGCTAGGGTCTCAAACGTGATCCTATATGTGTTTTGTAGCTTGCTTCTTTTTTCTTGGAAATTGAATCCTGTGATTTTTGTTGTTGTTTGGGACTTTTTTTTGTGGGTTTTCTTTTTCTTTTTTGAGTCCTTATTGCCTTAGAAGATAAATTTCTACTAGTTTTAAATGTCATTATGCTTTATAATTTGCTATTGGTGACTATTTAGGCTAACTAATTTTACTTCAGTTATTAGGCTATCATGTGACACTAGCATATCATGTGATGCCATGTGACAGCTGCAAATAATGACCAAATCCACCCTGGCAAATGGAAAAGGCTCGAAGTGTCCTTGACTTCACCAAGTGTTCCTATTCCCTGAAGTCACTAAGGCTTTAACTGGGCCTGGGTACACACCTGTAATCCCTCCCTCAGGAGGCTGGGGCAGGAAGGGTTGCTTTGAGAGGCTGTGCCTCAAAACAACAGAAAAGGAGCAGGGAGGACAATGGAGAGAACGGGGAGGAGAAATGGGCAGAAGAAAATGGGTAGGAGGAAGAGAAGGAAAGGGGAGGGGAAGGAAGGAGAAGAAGGGAAGGGGATGGAGAAGGGGAGGAAGAAGGGGAAGGGAGGCAAGGGGAGGAAAAGGAAGTTGTCACTGAGACTTGCTATGTAAGCAAGATCTGATTCAGAACTTTGCCAAGTTTCTCATCAGTTTTTCCCTGTGTAATAATTTACGTAAGTAAGTTTACACTCAGAATAATTTAAACATTACTTCTGTATTAACAAAAGCCAGTGTAAAGCAATTTTAAGTAACTAATATATATGCTTGTTTAGTTTGGCCCCAACTAGTGAAGAAACATGTTTCCTGGCGCCTGCCCATGTTGCAGGAAATGTTTGTAGCAACTGGAACATCTGCTCCCAAAGCAGCTTCTGACAGTGTGGAGGAGGCCGGTGGGTTTGCTGATGAACCTTCCATCAGAACTCCAGCACCACAGCATCAAACAAAAGGCCCCTCATAGAGAAAACAGCTCTGAATCTCTCTGGCATTGGAATGTTGGGTCCCCTTGATTCTGGGCCCTATGTCTGTGACTCCAAATCCCTCAGAATGAAGACACAGATAATAGGATGGCCCTCAGCCTCCAATTGTCTCCACTGTAGATATGGGGCTGAATAAGACGCTCAGAAAGTTGTTTTTTTTTTTTTGTTTGTTTGTTTGTTTTGTTTTTCATTTCTAACTTGACTAGCTAACAAATATAATATAAAATCACTTCTTCCCACTGGGCATAATGACAAAAACAACCAACAACAAGAGTCTTCCAAATTTATCCCATCTTTAGATTTTTTTTTTTCTCAGTATGTTTTCTCAAAGAGTTACTGTTGATCTGGTTTAGAAAGGCTGAAAATTATTTTTAAAATACTTTTCCAGAATACTTAAATATACATACCTAAACATTCAAGTATAAAGAACATTAGTGAGGTAAACAGCATTTTAGAGATAATCAGAGCTCCTTTCTTGCTGATATTGTTCTGTATTGTTGAAGCCATCTTATGTAGCCCAAGCTCCTCAAACTCGCTATGTAGCTGAGGCTAGCCTTAACCTCATGATCCCCCTGCCTCCACCTCCAAGGTGCTGGGGTCACAGGTATACATGCCCATGCCCATCTTAATCTGAGTTTCTTAAATAATCTCTTTATATTATACCTGTATTTTTTCAGGTTGAGTACAACTTAACAATTAGGATTCAAACATAGTCTCTATGACAAACTACACAATGCAAAGCTCAATTTTTCTCAAATATTGTCTGGGCCTCCAAGATTATTTGTTCATCTAATTAGAGTGGTTTCCAGGATCTAGCAAAGAAAGAAACAGGGAATCGCTTGCAATAGTTGTGTTATGTGTGTGGAATAAATTCTAATGACCCTTTGATAACATAGTACCTATAGTTAATGATAGACCATTAAGCTGGACATGGTGGTTTCTGCCTGTAATCTCAACACCCAGGAGGCAGAGACAGGAGGCTCACCATTAGTTTGAGGCTACCCTGGGCTACCTAGTTCATTCCAGAACAGACTGAACTGTAGAATGAAACCCTGTCTCCAAAAAACAATAGGTTAGGTAGAGTGGATGGATGGATGGATGGATGGATGGATGGATGGATGGATGGATGGATGGATGGATGGATGGGTAGGTGAATGGGTAGATGGGTAGGTGGATAGATGGATACACATTTTATTTCAAAATAAATCAAGGAGCTAGGCATGGTAGTACATTCTTGTGATATATAACACTCAAGAGACTGAAATACGAGGATCAATTCTGAGTTTGAAGCCAGCCTGAGCTATATAGTGAGACCTTGTCTTAACCATCCCACCTCTCAAAAAACGCACTAGGTATCTGTCAGTTATTCTAATACCCATGGTTATAAAATGATGTTTATATTAGTGTTTGTGTGACATATTATATGTAAAAGAGATTTCTAAGATTTGATTAAAGTGAATGTTTAAGTCCTTGCTAAATCTGTCATCCATTTTTTTTGTCTTTTTTTTTTTAAGTGAATGAGAATTGGCTATTCCATGATGACTGTACAGTGGAAAGATTCTGTGACTCCCCTGATGGAGTCATGATTTGTGGCAGCCATGATGGACGAGAAGTGTATGCAGTGACCCATGACCTGACTCCCACTGAAGACTGGATCATGCAATTCAAGGTGAAATTATCATGCTCTCAGTTACATAAATAACCATACACTAGCAATCTAACTAATCAGAACATCGTAAAGATAAAGGTCATTTAATGTTTCATTGACTTAATATGTACTTTGAAAAATAAAATTTGTGGTTAAGGTAACATACAGCTCATCTAAATAATGCTTAATGATTAAAAATTGTACTTCTATCATCTAAATAATGCTTAATGATTAAAAATTGTACTTCTATACTATTTCAAGATAAAATTTCAGACTTTACATAAAAGCAAATATTTACAATCAGGATTATATGCTTATAGAACAAAAAATATTGGTTTAAAAAATTCAAGATACTGATTGCAACTTATTAAATTAAATCACTATATATGTGTGTGTATATATGTATATATATATATATATATATATATATATATATATAGAGAGAGAGAGAGAGAGAGAGAGAGAGAGATAGCTCAGAGGTTAAGAGTACTGGCTGCTCTTCCAAAGTTCAATTCCCGGCAACCACATGGTGACTCACGACCATCTATAATGAGATCTGATGCCATCTTCTGTCATGCAGGCATACATGCAAATAGAGCACTCATATACATAAAATACATGAATAAATAAATATTTTTTAAAGTATGCTGGCTTGGTATGGTGGTGCCCACCTGTAATCCAGGCACTTGGGAGACAGAGGCAGGTAGATCTCTGTAAATTCAAGGCTAGCCTGCTCTATATAGTGAGTTGCAGGTCAGCTAGGGCTAATAGTGAAACCCTATCTCAAAAAAAAAAAAAAAAAAGGTAAACTGTTTCTGTATGAGACTAAAGCTATAATTGTTATTTCTACTTTTCCTAGAAGCTATTAGGATGTTTCTGTAGAACAAAAAATTATACACTAAACAGCATGATTAGAATTCGTGCCAAGAGCAGCTTTGGATAGCATTTTAGCCAGCATTTCTTCTGCTGTGTTCTGTCTACCTGAGTCCCTCTGTGTTTGCAGAGCTGACACATTGTGGCTGTTGCCATGTTAGAGGCATTGTGCTTCTCTTATCACTTCACTGCATCTTGCTTGCAGGTGAAAGTGATTTATTGAGAGTTATAAATTGTATGACAAAATAGTGAAATTGGTAAGGCTGTTAGCAATCCTTCTTGGTCAGGTATTCTACCAGATGCAAGTGCCAGGCCATTAACAAAACAATTTGCAAGTGTGGGCGCAGGCCTTCCCAGGAAACCAGCCAGCGTGGCAGAGGCACAGGTTTCAGCTTCTCTCCCAATCCCTACACAATGTACTTGGCACTCTCTACACTTTGTCACCTTGGGCAAGCATGCCAATGTCCCAGGTCCATCAACAAAGCAAATAATGAATTTGAAAATACAGGGTGGGAGATATCAAGGGATCTGTGCATTTTTTGCTGCCAATTCTTTGGAAATGAAATATGTAATATGGTTTTGATGCCTTGACAATCTTCATTTTCTGTTTATTAGATCTCTGTTGGATGTAAAGTGCCTGAAAAAATTGCCCAGAATCAAATTCATGTGCAATATTCTACTGACTTTGGTGTGAGCTGGAACTATCTAGTCCCTCAGTGCTTACCTGCTGATCCAAAATGCTCTGGAAGTGTTTCACAGCCGTCTGTGTTCTTTCCAACTAAAGGGTGGAAAAGGATCACCTACCCACTTCCTGAAAGCTTAGTGGGAAAGTAAGTCAAAAATTAAAATAAAGCGTGGCTGCAGGCATGCAGGAGGTAAACGTGGGGACTGCTGTCCAGTCTCCAATTCTGAGTCCTCATGGGTAAAGTGTTTCTGCCCTAATGATGAACGAACTTCATGTTGTAATCCTGAGACTGGAAGATTTGGTCCTCACTTAATAGCCCTGTCATGTCCTCTTTTCTAAACCCCAGTGCCATCAATGATTGCCTTGGAGCCAGATGCAAAGACGCATATTAGCTACCTTACTGGCCTTGTAGACTGTAGTTCAACATAAAGATGTTTTCCAAATCCTTGATAGAGCAGGGAGCAAATCCCAACTCATGCTAGTTGCATAGCTCCTAACTTCAGGCCACTTGTATAAGATACCTCATGGGTTTTTTTCTTTATTTTTCTCTTATCACAAAGCATTATGTTCTGCACCTGCAGTGAAACATAATTAGCCTGGATCAGTGGTGACCATGGCGATTAAACCATGCTCTGGAAAGTCTGTAGATAAGTTAATTTAAGGAGATTCGAAAGATTCCCCATCTACTGTAAAATTAAGAAAAGAGATGCATTAAGCAAAACGACAGGCGTGCTTCTACTGAATTAATCATAGAGTCTGGCTAAGTCAAAAGGCTTCTGATGAAACAGATCATGATTTATGAGCAAGACTGAGCCTCTGAACAGGGCAGGTATGCACACAGCCTGTCCAGTCCTTTTGACAACATCATCAGTGTCCTGGAATGGATCAGAAGAGCTCAGGCAGTTAAGATGCTAGGAGGTGAAACTGTGATGCTTTTAGCAGCAGGTTACAAACTCTCATCTACAGTGGCTCAATTAAAAATGAAGGATACTTTATCCTGGTGCTTGAGACCCGAGTTTGGTTCCCAGGACCCACACTGGTTGGCTCACAACTGCCCATAGCTCCAGGTACAGAGGATCTGATGCCTTCTTCTAGCCTCCACTGACACTGCACTCATGTGACAAGCTCCACAGACAAATATGTGCTTCTACACATAATGAAAATTCAAACTCTTTCTAAAACACATTAAATCTATAACAAAAAAATGTAAAGATGAGTAGACTCTAGGACTGGTTGGTTTGCATATTTAAGAATGGCTTTAAGGACCCTTTCTGCCAAACCTGAGGACCAGAATTAGATCCCTCGCATACACATCCATACCCTGGCATACATGCTTGTACGTGTACATGCACGTGCACACATATACACAAATAAATACAATAATAATAGACGGTGTATCTTTAAATGACTTCAAGGACACCATTGTCTTGCTCTCTCATCCCTCTGACAGTGGCACTGGTGTTGTTCTCAGCTTGAAGAGGGTCCCCCTGTTGAATATAAGATGGCTGCCAGAAAACTGGACCAGATGCTTCCTTACCTGTGTCCAGTGGGAGAGAGAGAGGGTTGTATTTTCTTTCTCAGAGAACCAGAACAACAACCTCCTTGAATCCCATTGGTACAAATTATCCCATTCCTAAACCACTTAGTAATTTGTGGAATTTTATTAAGATGATCATCTCTCAGTGAGTCATCTGGGGTGAAATGCATGCTGGGGAACCACCACCACAGACTCACTTATACCTTCTCTGTGCTCTCTCTCATAGTTATCTTTGTCTCTCGGTGTGTCTCATGTGTGTGTGTGTGTGTGTGTGTGTGTGTGTGTGTGTGTGTGTGTGTTAGCATATGTACATTCATTCTGTATATAATTTACATAGTGCACAAACACAGCGCTTGTTCTGATGAAGGACTTTTGCTGTTGTGTAACCCATGTACCTACCACATAAAATGAGATGCAGAACATTTGCATTGCCCTAGAAACTTCTTTAATACACATTATTTTAATATAAGGTTAATTAGAGCCTTGTTTTTTTTACCCAGAAGACAGAGAAGAACAATGATGAAATTAAAAATCTCTGGGAAATTGTCCTTTAATATAACCCTTTCAAAATTGTTTTCTAATTACCACAGTTACCTTGAGAATATTGATAATCTTCAAGGAATTGAGAAGTTACTGTTTCCTGAATGCCTGAAGGCTGTATGCATGCTAACAAGACTGTCATAGGCTTCATTCACCTTCTGTACAGCTTCAGAAATGTAATTAGTCAATCTAAATGCTCCACAACCACTGAAGTTCACTTCTTTTGTTCATCCAGTCAATAAATGGGCCAATGAATTGAATAAATAATTCTCAAAAGAACACAAACACAAATGGCCAATAAATATTGAAAAAAAAGTTCAATATCCTTAGCCATCAGGAAAATGTAAATTAAGACTGCTTTGAGACTCCATGTCACCCCAGTCAAAATAGCGTTGAGATAGCAAATGAGAACAGGGAAGGTGGCTCAGTGGGTAAATGCCCTTGCCACCAAGCCTGAGGGTCACACTTTCATCACGGGACCCCACTTGCACACTGTGACACACATACAGACACCAGATAGATGATGGATAGATAGATAGATAGATAGATAGATAGATAGATAGATAGATAGATAGATAGATAGATAGATAGATAGAGATAGGCAGGCAGACAGATAGATAAATGTAAAAAGATTTTTAAGCAATGACATCAAATGCTGGTGAAATTATGGATAACTATGAAGTTATGAAGAATTAATATTCATTGTTGGGGATATAAACTTCCACAACCAGGATGGAAATCAATATTCAGACTCCTCAAAACATTGGAAACTACCATGTGACCCAACTATACCACTCTAGGGAATATAGTAAAAGGATGCTACAACATACCACAGAGATCCTTGCAAATCCTTGTTTATAGATGCCTTGTTCATAATAACCAAGAAACAGAACCAAGAAAGATATGGTACAGGCCTGGAGAGATGGCTTAACAGTTAAGAATTCTGGGTGCTCTTCCAGAAGACCAAGGTTTGATTCCCAGCACCCACATATGTCCAGTGTCCTCTTCTAGTCTCTGCAGGCAGTGCCTACACATAGTGCACAGATAAACGGGCAAGTAGAACACCTATACACATAAAATGAAGAATAAATATTTTAATGCAGTACAGACACATGATGAAATTTTATGCAGCTACAAAGAAAATGAAATCATGACTTTTGCAGAAAAGTGATGCAACTGGAAATCATTATGATACACAGAATAAGCCAAACAGTATGGGTTTTCTTTCACCTGCAGAACCTAGATTTAAAACTTTGGTGCATGCAGTATGGGGGAAGGCCACAAAGCTGGAAAGGAGATCGTGTGGGTTGGGGCAGTTCCAAGGAAAGTGTGGGATGTGAAGGTAGTGGGATACATAGAATAATAAATCTGAAGTTGGAAGTAACTAGAAGAAGAACAGGAACTAGCCAGAGGAGGGAGAGAGCATGGGGGAGGACTGAGGAGGAAGATGAATGAGAACCAAGTGTAATGGTGCATAGGTATGAAGGTGCCATGATGAGATGCCTTACTTTGATACAAACTCTAAAATTTAATTTTAAAAACAAGGAAAGAAATCTGGGTTATGACTATAGATGATACTGTAAAATAATCCTTGGCTTAAAAGTCCCCACTGGTTTTTATTTGTTTTGCAAGTTTGTACAGAATTGAGTTGAAAGCAGCTGCACAGTCCTGTTACTAGAAGTTGGAAGTGGTTAGAAAACATTTTTATTACTCATTTCTTCCATCAAGAATACCCTAAGTGTTTTTTTCTCCTGAGCACTGAGTATATATGTAGTAAAATAGCTCTGAATACAGTTAACTTTTGTTCTTCTTCCTTTGCTTCTGCCAATAGCCCTGTAAGATTTAGGTTCTACCAAAAGTACTCAGACGTGCAGTGGGCAATTGACAATTTTTACCTTGGCCCTGGATGCTTGGACAACTGCCGAGGCCACGGAGACTGCCTAAAGGAACAGTGTGTCTGTGACCCAGGGTACTCGGGGCCAAACTGCTACTTAACTCACACGCTGAAGGTACTGCTGGACCCTTCGCTTACAGGCTGTCCTATGACCAGTTTTCACACATGAGACTAGTAATCTGTAGCAAGGGTGTGTGTCCCTGTTTCTCTGTCTCTGCCCTCCCCGCTCCCCTCACACCTCGCTTGTCTGCCTTACTACTTTGCCCTGGCTGGCCTAAACTGGCTGTGGACCAGGCTGACCTCAAACTCATAGAAATCTGCAAGTACAAGGATTAAAGGCATGTGCAACTATGGCCAGCTTTTTTCTTTAAAAAAACAAACACTCAGTTTAAAGTCAGTATTTAACTTTTTTTAAAGATCCTGCTTTAAGCAAATATAGATAGCCCCACAGACCAAACAAATTATCAAGCATGCTTAAATAGTGATCGAACTTTTTTCCAGAAAATTCTATGGTCTAATTTATTAACTACTGAAATATGGCTGCATATTAACAATAGGATTATCATTTTTTGACACATTTGCTATTATATTCAGTATATTCAATATGTAAAGTAAATGTAGTTTCTGAACACACAATTGCCACATGTGTTTTATTTCTGTAAATAAATCCAGCACATACATCATTTTAATAACAGAAAAATGCCTCAGCTAAAACAGTACAATTGCCAGAGATAGGTGCTCCCACCTGTAATCCTGGACTATACAGTGAGTGAGTTCCAGGCCAGCCTGAGTTATAGTAGGATATCCTATCTCAAAAAAAAAAAAAGTACACATCATTGAACCCTAGTAAATATTGAAAATAAAATTTGAGGACATTGCTCATTTATGTCTAAAGAAAAAAACCTAAGACTTCATGTGAACATTCAAATTTCATTACTATCTCTCAGATAAGAAATCATACTGAACTCCAGTTCAGTCCTCTAATGAGAGCATGTGTGGCTAGCTGTGCATTTCTGGCTCATGTTCTTACATACGAACATTCATTTATAAAAATTGTGCTCATTTTCTCATCATTAGTGAAGTAAAGTGAGACGGGCTTGTGCTTGCATGCCTTTAATTATAGAGTTGATTGTTCTACATTTGAGCAAATGAGACTTTATTTGAATCACTTATCTGCACAAAATAGAGCTCTCCTAAAGAACTGGAGAACTAGGGATAGAGATGCATATAGAGATTGTTTTTACTGCAATTGCAACTCCATGTCACCTAATCATACGATAAAATCAAGTCATTTCCCTTCTCTGGGTAATGTAAAATTTCAGGGCTTGAAGGTCAGTAAATAAAAAATAGTATTTATGTGTTTTGTTTTAGGTATTCTGTTTCTGGGAAAGCTGGATTATTTCATTTCTTTGAACAGAAAAAGATTGTCTCATGATTCTAGCCATTATTTAAGTTACTCTGATTTTGCATTTATAACATTATATTAAAAAGATAATGACACACTGACCTTGAATCTACATTTTAATGTGTGTTACAATAAAAGTTTACATTTTATAGTTTAAAAAAGTTTAATTATTTAATTTTAGCAGTTTAAATTGCCTTCAATATATGGTAGAAAGTAAAATTATGAACATAATTTACTGCCTTTCAAACATATCTTTGAAAAACACTGAAATCAGTTCTATGATTTTTAAGCCCAAGCAAGTTTGTTAGGTAAAGTACCATCGTTTCTACCTAAAGTTGTTATCTGTAACAACCCCCACTCCACCTCCCCAGACTTTCCTGAAGGAGCGCTTTGACAGTGAAGAAATCAAACCTGACTTGTGGATGTCCTTAGAAGGCGGAAGCACTTGTACCGAATGTGGGGTTCTCGCCGAGGACACTGCACTCTATTTTGGGGGGTCCACTGTGAGACAAGCTATTACTCAAGACTTAGATCTCAGAGGTGCAAAGTAAGTCACATTTTCTCATTTCTGTCCCAACTTCACAAACTGACACCAGAGTTACGAACATGTGTAGACGTCGTTATTCGGGACTTGAGAGTGGCATCTTTATTCCATCATTCTGATAGACAATATGTGCTTTCACTTAGATTCCTACAGTACTGGGGACGCATTGGCAGTGAGAACAACATGACCTCTTGCCATCGGCCCATCTGCCGGAAAGAAGGCGTACTGCTGGATTACTCCAAGGATGGAGGTATGTTTCATGAATGACAGCTGTGCCTCAGACTGCATGTCCACACTCCATCCGACAACCCTCAGAAACATCTCTGTAGAGCTTTGCTAACGGTGATAATTATTAAGACTGGAAGACAGAGCAACATGTCTTGCTTGTGTTACATGTCCTGTCTATGGGACTGCTTCTAGGCAAAATCTACCCTCCCACAAGGGATTGAGAGAGATAGCACATTAAAAATAAAATGGTTTAATAGAATTTGTATTTTTTATTTATCTTTGAAATACTTGTATATGGTGTATCTTTGTCATATCCACAACCCATCTCTCCCCCTCCAGCTCCCTCCAGGGACTCTCTAACACATCATGTCCTCTTTTAAAACAGAATTTTTTGTAAGATAATGAAAAGAAACAAATTTTGAATAATTTTCTGAGTAAAATATGATTTCAAAAGAATCCTAGGCCCAGCAAAGTGGTATACACCTTTAATTCAGCACTTGGGAGGCAGAGGCAGGCCGATTTCTGTGAGTTTGAGGCCAGCCTGGTCTACACAGTTAGTTCTAGGACAGCCAGAACTACATAGTGAGACCCTGTCTCAAAAAAAAATCTAAGATGTGGGGGGCCACCCCACCCCCACATTTCCTCAGGGTACTCTCAAGCAGGAGCAGCAGGAATATTAGATAGAAATATAGCTAGAGAAAGAGAAACAGATAGAAATACAGGATAGCCTCGGGTGGGCCTGGATCCTAATCCATCGGGCCCTGACTGTCTCTGCCAAAGGACTTCTAAAGGAATGCCAAGGGGTGGAGCAAAAGACCTCCTCCCCCAGCACAGCCAAGTGCAGACATCTCAGACACCTGTACTCAGGCCGTGGTCCAATCATCCTCTATGCAGACCTGCTGGGTAAAGCCACTGGGAAACCCAAATGGGTTCCCACACTAAGACACAGCAAGAAACATATAGTTGCATTATAGCTCATATATTCATCTGCCCAAATGATAACATAAATACCATAGGAACAAGAAAACCTCACCAAAGAAAATATCCTAAATTCATGAAACTATGTTAATAAAATTCTGTTTTATTATTTTGAAGTAACTATCAGGCCATTAATACCATAAGACAGTAGGGGAAAGTTGCTTAAGGGCTGGAGAGATGACTCTGTGCCTAAGAGCGCTGCTTGCCAGAGGGCCAAGATTTGGTTCCCAGCACCCACATGGGGGCTCACAATCATCTGTAGCTCCAGTTTCAGGGAATCCAACAGTCTCTTCTGGCCTCAGTGGGCATCAGGCATGCCAGCGGTGCACATTCATATGTATAAGCAAGCAAAACACTCACAGACACAAAATCAAAATAAATAAATCTTTAAAAATAAATTAACTAACAAGATCATTGATATAAAAACAATTTGAACTGAAAAGGTTAAAAATAATTTCTTTCAAAAGAAAATATGTTTTAGCAGCCTGTTATCAACTGTCTCAGCCAAGTCACATGTTTCAAACATGTCCTATCCCACAGTCCTATCAAGCAATAAGGCCAACTTCTTATCAGTCCAAATAATTACAAATTATATAGAATTATAATAATTATATTTTTAAATCTAGACGCTACTGTCTAGAGACATGAATTTTTTTTTTGAGAAATAATGCCTCTTAAGAATCTAGAGCTGAGTTTTAAAGACAGATTATATTATTTTCTTCAGTATGTTTACTTTGACCAACCATGTCTAAATACCTCACATTATGATCAACTTGTGCTGAACCTGTCACCAGATTCCATTTTCTCTGCCTGGATAAAGATTTCTTTGGGAAGCTGATAGAACTGGCAATATGCTGCTGGTTTGTGGGTTGTTTCCAGATGTTACTGCGCTGACAATTATGTTTTTATAGGAATTACTTGGACTTTGCTTCATGAGATGGATTTCCAGAAATACATTTCTGTGAGACATGACTACATCCTCCTCCCTGAGGACGCCCTCACCAATACAACTCGACTCCGCTGGTGGCAGCCTTTTGTGATCAGCAATGGGATTGTGGTTTCCGGGGTGGAGCGTGCACAGTGGGCACTGGACAACATTCTGATTGGTGGAGCAGAAATCAATCCAAGTCAACTGGTAGACACATTTGATGACGGTAAGAGGAATTCTCTGAACAGTGTCCTCTGCGTCAGCTGTCTGCAGGTGTCAGATGGGTCATTCCATAGTGAGCATGTGCAGGCTCTAGGACATGCTTCTCAACCTGCGTTTGCTGCTGTTGGGCCCTGCAGTTTATAAGTCTCCAAAGTTGGTCACTTGCTGAACTGTCAATTCAGAATTTAATGAATATTGCTAAATACAAAATGTTTTTATTATAATTTGTAATTGCAATACCCTGAATATTTTAGTCCTTTTAGTAATTTCTGTACCATAGAACACATACTGCAGATGCCTAGGAAGAAGTAGAATTTCTACCTAGAAAAACAATTACAAAGCGATCATTCCAGCAGCCTTTAGTAGTTTCGCCCTAAGCTTGGGCTCTCACCTGGGATTTATATATTAAGACAGTTAGATAAAATAAATAACTGCCCTCCATAGTAAACACAAAAGTAATTTAACATTGACCATCTTACTTGGAAAAAAATAACAGATAGTATTGTTTCCCACTAATTGAACAGAAGGCTCTTCCCATGAAGAAAACTGGAGTTTTTACCCTAACGCAGTAAGGACAGCGGGATTCTGTGGCAATCCATCCTTCCACCTCTACTGGCCAAACAAAAAGAAGGACAAGACCCACAATGCTCTCTCCTCCCGTGAGCTCATCATACAGCCAGGATACATGATGCAGTTTAAAGTAAGGGAAAGTTAAAGTGGCGACTTCTACGTGGGCTGTGGAAGAAGGGATTTGTTCTGACAACTACAGACATGATTGATTTCATCCATTAAAAGATACTGTACTGTGGTAACACTTTACAAAGGCCTTTCTTCAAGTATGGTTATTTGAGCATAGATAATATCTGTGGTGATGCTAAGACACAGCAAGAGAAATAGCTGCACTGCAGCTCACATATTCATCTCCAAAATGAAAAGCTTACATGGTGCCTGGGACCCTTTAACTCTCCCATGACACATCACTCCTCCTCCCTGTGACTTTTATTAAACCTTTGCTTCTCCGGTGATTCTTTTTCAGTTTATTTTCAATGTTCTTTGTCTCCAATTTCACAAACCTGTACATTAGCCCAGTTGTAGCTCCCAAAGCCTCAAAGAACTAGAGAATTTTTTAATCTTTTGTACTGCAAGGATCAAACTCACATCATCAGGCTTAACTATGGGCCCCTTTACCTCCTGAGCCATAGCTCCAGCTAACTATTTTTAGCAGTTTCCTACACATTTCTGACTTGCACATGGACACTTCAGTTCAGTATGTGTCATGGGGAAGTCAGCATCTTCCATCCCACACCAGCTCCTCTTTCCAGTTACCCCGTCTCTGCCGACAGCAACACCACTTTCCACATGTCGTCACTTCCTGTGTTCTTCCCTCACCCCATCAGATCTCTTCTGCACTGTTATGTCCATTCACATCCATCAAGTTCCCCTCTGACTTCCAGTCTCCCTCCATCCCTAACTTTGAAGTCAGAGTCAGATTAGCTTTAGTAGCATAGCTCTTGGTCCATCCTTCCATTCCTCAAGTCTTTGGTGGCTTTCTGTTCTTAGCAAGTGAAGATCAAACACTTGTTTATCTGTATCCCAGGGTGTGGAACTCAGCTCATCACTCCAGATCATCCCCCAGGATTCTACCCCCTCTCTACTTGGCTCCAGTCTCCTGCACTCAGAGCTCTGGATTCGTGTCCACTCATACTTGCTCCCTTCTAAACAGCTTTTCTCCACCTCTACCCTCAGATGCTCTCTGTCCTTCAGGGTCGGCTCACATGCACCTATTGGATGGATTATTTTCCAGTTCATTTAATCAGCTGTGTTATATATGTGTGTCTTAGATTCCCACTACTACTACTGGGTTACACTTCTTATTCTAACCTTGAATTTTAAATGTCTCATTTATGGGTTTTATGCCTGAAATTTTCAGCACTGACTTCCCCTAATACCAGCAGTGAAAAAGGACTTGTTGATTAAATCAACAATTAGAACTTACATTTGAGTCACCAAACTTTATAAATCATTCATGCATTATTAATGGCTCAAATATTTAATTGCAGATAATACTGAAAAGGAGAAACAGCATTGAGAATGGCTATTAAAGTAATTAAATTTGTTGTTATCAGTTCCAAATAAAAACTTATAGCGGCATCAAAGCAGTTAAGATGTCAGTGGGCATGTTTTGCATTAGATACTTTCAATTTCTTGCCATAAATTCTCCTTATAATATTTTTTTACCCAATTTAGCTTATCTAAATTTATGTAATAAGATATATTAGTTAAATTAGTAGAGATAATACCTTAAAATCCTTAATTCACAGCTTCTTTGAAAGTTGAATGTTTTAACAGCTCTAAGAATGAATTCTTCATGCACTGGCAAGCTGCTTGTAAAACTTTCTCTGAATATTTGATTGCCCATTAGAGTCCTGATATTGAGAAATAGGATTTCTGATTAGTCACATTGGATATCATTTAGTCTAGCTTGTTTATTGATTGCTTCTGTTTGTTTTAGATTGTGGTGGGTTGTGAAGCCACTTCGTGTGGTGACCTTCATTCTGTAATGCTGGAATACACTAAGGATGCAAGGTTAGTGTAATTATTTTACATTTCTTCGAAACTTGAAAACAATTCAAACATGTGTCTAATGTTAAGGTAGCCACTTGCAAAGAATCAATTTTGTGTATTGAAAGCAGATTGAAAGCTTTCAGGAGATTGGGGCTCTTGTAATGCCAGGACTGGGTAGACTGAGGCAGCCTGGCACACCTAGGGAGGCCCTGTCAGCTCCTGTGTACATTCATATAAATATCACTAGCATAAATTTACCTATAGGTCTTCAAATTTTTCTTTCAAACCAAAAAGAAAGTCAGTTTTCACACTGGGCAGCTGCTGAGAAACATTACATTTAAAAACAGGTAAGACATTGAGTTGGTTCCTGTAGAACTATTTTGTTCATGTTGCTAATTTTCACCCAACTTTCAGAAAAAAATTTAACAAGCTGATGCTCTGAACGTGCTCCTGCTGGAGTCTTGCCTCCTACAGCACGTTAGCAGTGGTGAATGGAGCCTGACATGGGCGTTCCCTTGTTGCTGTCTGCTGCCATCACTTTGAAAACTTAATTACATTATGTTAAGTCAACCAGTTCTACGTATGTTTCTAGTGAGAAGTTACTTGAATTCATTCTTCTACATGCTATCATTTTATTCTGTTGTCTGTGAATACATTAGTGTGGTTTTAAAGAGCTAATACACATCTAATGAGAAGTTTTTTGTTTTATATGCTATGAGAATTTCATATATATATATACAAGGTATTTTTATCATATCCACTCACTCTCCCCCTTCCAACTCCTCCCATAACACACCCCTACAGCCCTTTCCAAATTCATATTCTCTTTTTCTTTCTTTATAACCCACTCATTCCTATAAGAGCTGCTCATATGTGCATGAGTGTAGGGCCAACCCCTGGAGTGTGGGTAACCTACAAGAGATTTTGTTTTTTGTTTTGGTGTGATCTTTTCTTTCTTTCTTTCTTCCTTTCTTTTTGAAATAGAATATTAAATAAATTTAAAAAATTTTAAATTTTGAATAGGTTTTAATTGAAGTAGAATTAGATCACTTCCCCTGATCCCTTTCCTCACTCCACGCCACCCCACTCCCAGTTCCTCTCCCTCAAACCTTTCCCATGAGGGATTTGGAGGGGATAGCTTTTATTTTTTATATAATGTATTTTTAATTGGGGTATAATGACATCATTCTCCCCTTCCATTTCCTCTTTTCCATCCCTCACTCCCTCTAAAATCCATGCCCTCTTTTTCTTAATTGTTATTAATACAGACATGTATAAATGCAAATGCATAGATATAAAAATAAAACGTTCTAGGTTCATTTAATGTCACTTGTATGTATATAACTTCAGGGTTATTTTTAAATTATTTTCAGTGATTCAGTGGTCTATAATTCATATGAGTTTCAAAAGAGGAAATTCTAAATTAATAAATCTTTAAAGAGGGGTAGCTAGAGAGATGGTTCAGCAGTTAAGAGCACTAGCTGTTCTCCCAGAGTTCCCAGTGCTCAGTGGCTCAGAACTATCTATACTTTCAGTCCCAGGGGATCTGGGACTCTTCTATCCTCTGCAGGAACTGCACACATGTAGTACGCATGCATGCATGCAGGCAAACATTCATATACATAAAATAGAAATGAATCTTTTTAAAACAAGGAGGTTCACATGAAAATTATTTAATCCTATCCGAAGCATTGTCTGACGTTAATATGTCACCTACTCCTGCTGACTTGTCTGATGCGACCCTTTTGACTGCTGCAGCTCTGACTCCTGGCAGCTTGTGCAGACCCAGTGCCTACCCTCCTCCTCCAACAGCATCGGCTGCTCCCCCTTCCAGTTCCACGAAGCCACCATTTATAATGCCATCAACAGCTCCAGCTGGAAGAGGATCACCATCCAGCTGCCGGACCATGTCTCCTCCAGGTGGGTTGCCTGCACAGGGAAGCCTAGTGGGACCGGCAGGCAGCCCCACGCTTCTCACCGTTCCTAATGCTACGACCCATTTAAACAGTGCCTCATGTTGTGACTCGAACCACAGTTATTTCCATTGCTGCTTCATAACTGTAAATTCGCTACTGTTATGAACTGTAGTGTCAATATCTATGTTCTCCAATGGTCTTAGGGGACCCCTGTAAAGGGTCGTTCAACCCCCAAAGGGGTCCTGACCCACAGGTTGAGAACCACTGCTCCAAGGTCATGCAGAAAGATGGAAACAGTTTGAGCTATGGCCTGAGGACTCTAATTGCCATCCCATGTCCCAAGAAAAGGAGCATATATATATATAAATTATTCATGGAGCTCATAGTTTTTAACTACATATCATACATGTGCAACACTTCCTCACACATCCTGAATGGTAGAGCCTACACAGAGACTAGAGTTGAAGCCAGTTCCGCCCTAAGCTTTCCACCCTAAGCTGTGTTGCTCATGCAGACATGCATAGCTCCTGGTTACCAGGTTACAGAAAGCTGAGGATAACTAGGCCAGTGTGTGATTTTCCCCAGAGCAGCATTCACTGAAAGATTTAGAAAATGATACATTATTATACATATGTGTGTATGTATGTATATTTATATATGTGTGTGTGTATAAATGATACATTATATATGGAAATTCTCATAAATAGAAAGGATAACACTTGAGATTGACCGATTGATGCTGGCTTCCACACACATTGCATACGAGCGAGCACACACATGCATTTGTACCTTACATGCGTGTGTACATGCATATACCTAAGCAAAAGAAGAGAAAACTTTAGAGAAGACACAGCTTTCAGAGAGGCATGTGAGGACACATGTGCCAATTCTGCATAGTGAACAACTCTCTGCTTTGGGTACTTTGGGTAGAAGTTTGAGCTCTTTCCTCAGATCTCCATTCCCACAGGCGGAGGCTGGGCAAAATAGGCAGGTAACACCCCGATGCCTATCTTTGTTCTTTGGTCTCTCAGTGCCACACAGTTCCGCTGGATCCAGAAAGGGGAAGAAACTGAGAAGCAAAGCTGGGCCATCGACCACGTGTACATTGGAGAGGCCTGTCCCAAGCTCTGCAGTGGGCGTGGCTACTGCACCACTGGTGCGGTCTGCATCTGTGACGAAGGCTTCCAAGGTCTGAACCCCGCCTGGGCTGTCCCGAGGCAGGACACTGTGGGCTCCTTGTCTTACATACACAGGAAATACACTAGGAAGTGGTTGGAAAACCAGGCTCAGAAGTGTGAGGTCAACAACCTTTGACCACTGAGTTACTATCTTTGGAATGAATTCTCAAACAGTCTTGATCTATGTTCCTGAAAGCATTCTTAAATTATTTTTTAGCTGGCCTACAAAATGCTGGCTCTTGTTATAATATTTACACATGTGCCCCCCCCTTCCTCCCCTCCAAATAGTTCCTCTTCTGATCCCTGAAACTCAGTTTTAAAGGTAGACTGAGGAGTTGGGGGGGATGATTCAGTCAGTAAAGCACTTGGTTTGCAAGCTCAAGGACCTGAGTTCAATCCCCACAACTCACGTAATAAGTGGTACAAGGCCCTGGGTTCGATCCTCAGCTAAAAAAAAAAAAAATAGAAAAATAGTAGCCATGGTGTTACACACTTGTCATGTAAGCAGGGATTGGTGCGGGGGGGGGGGGGGGGGGGGGGGGGGGGGGGGGGGGAGACCAGCTATGTATGGCGTTACACACTTGTCATGTAAGCACTGAGGACAGAGACAGAAGGTTCTGTGGGGCTGAGTTGGCCACTAGTCTAGAAGCTAATTCAAAGAAGGTGGATGACATTCCTGATGATGACATCTAAGGTTGTCCCCTGGCCACTACATACACATATACATGTGCATGAACACTTATGCACCTGCATATACACTTATACTCAAAGATGCCTCACATACATGCATGAAATAAAAGACTGAAATCAACTTGATAAATTCTGTACGTAATGATTTAAAGTTGTAAGTAACTGAGTCAGAATAAATTCACTCAGGACATCTTGTGGTGCCTTATATTCCCTGTCTTTCCCATTAGCTTCCTGTCCCAGCCACACTCAACACTCGCTTTCCGGCCTTTTCTTGCTGTCTCTCTTTAAATACATCATCAGTGTCAATTAGACTCCACCTCCCAAGATCCATCTACCATCATTCCACAGTTGTATCTGATGATCTGAGTGTTCGGGTCACTGTGCCCCTAGAGGGAAAAACACTTCACACAACCAAGTTAATTCCTACTACTTGGGCTTCTAGAGGCTGAATGTATTTGGGCTAATCTGGTCGGACGCGCACGTGGTAGGAAAATGCCTGCCAGTCCTGCTTTACCTTCATCCAAATGTTTCTGCAGGTTCCAACCTATGTTAATTCATATTTATTATATATATCCTCATAGCTTAATAATTGCCATTTAGCAGAGCTGAGAAATCTTTGAACTTTACACTGTCTTGATTTTATTGTTTGCATAGACTATCCCCATTCTTTAGAGTCACTTAGAATTTATGATAGTCCTGTAAGTTACCTGTGGTCAAAATGACCATTCCCATTCAATAAATAAGGAAACTGAGACTCAGGGAGGGTAAGAGACTTGTAAAAAACCACAGAGCTGGTAAAGACAACCAGAAACCACAGAGCTGGTAAAGACAACCGGGCCCTGAATTTTTCTTTCCAATCAACCTCTCCAGTTCTCACAGCTGATTTATCTAAAGATCAGAATTATACAACTTCCCCAAGAATATCATGTTAGAATATATATATATATTTGAATTCTACAGTGAGATCCATTTAGATTTCTTGGTTGATGCTATTTCTTTGCCTCCAGATGAAATGAATATGATTAATGTAGGCGCCTGCACAACTCTGATGTTGAAAATTACTTACCCACCTCTTTCCTCCCCTGTTATCACTGCTGCTGAGACCAGCTGAGTCTGTCTGGGTATTAGCTGAAGAATTTTAACTTTGGGCAAATTAATGAATCAAATGTCTCATGAGAAGGCCCAGCTGTCTGGAATTTTCCCTCTTCCCTGACCCAACATAAGTAGAGCCTTTTGATTTTGAACTATTGTGGGCATTTAGAACATGTGTACAGTTCAAATCAAGGAGAAATGTAAACATGCATACATTCACTCATTTAATGTCTTGTACACCAGTATCTTACCTTAGTGGTCCCTGAGAGACATTTCCAGTTTACTTATTATTCATTTATTTATCCCAGCATCGTTGCTGAATACTGTGCTAGGTGCTGGCATCCAATGCAGAATTGAGACATAGACTGTGCTCTCAGGACTCATCAAGGAGAAAGTGGGATGAGACAAAGAACACAGCGTATCTAGTTTCTACAAAATTGTGATGGGACAAAAAGAAATTAGATTGGCCTCCTATGGAAGGGTGAAAACTCCCTGCTGAAACACAACACTGGTAAACACACAGACCTGGCCAGATGCTGTAGCGTGTAAACAATAGATTAAGTACATTCACGAGCACATGTTTTAAAAAGCATTGACTCAAAACTAATGGGACTTTTCTCAACATAAGCCAATAGTTGCCTAAACACACGAGCAGTGGTTGCTCCTGGGAGTCTGAGTCAGCCCTAGTACTTCACTCTTCTTGCAGTAAGAGTGGCTCAAACCTGAAGCTTGGATATTGTCTCACTCTTGGAGAGTTATGTTTATTCCAGCTGATGCCAATCCCTGTGACCATTCCTCCTTTTCCCCAGGGGATGATTGCTCTGTTTTCAGTCACGAGCTTCCAAGTTACATTAAAGATAATTTTGAATCAGCAAGAGTCACTGAAGCCAACTGGGAAACGATTCAGGGTGGTGTCATCGGAAGTGGCTGTGGGCAGCTGGCACCCTATGCCCATGGAGACTCACTCTACTTTAATGGTTGTCAGATAAGACAAGCTGCTACCAAGCCACTGGATCTCACTCGAGCAAGGTGAGCAAACCCTTGTACCATATTCAAGACACAGGAACTGATCACAACCCCAAATCTGATCATGAACGCCATGCAAAAATTTCCACTAAGCAAGGAAGCCTTAATATCAAAGAACCATTGTGTGTTTGAACAACTCAGAACTATCATGCTGTAAATTTATCATAGGAAGTCTTTGCTATTTCTCCCCACACAATACTAGCTAAGTGGTGATACTGTAGTAGAAATAGCTAAACATGATGGAGAGAATGGATAAGGAAAATCTACATAGATAACTTAATGTTAGCCACAGCAAAGTATGTAAATATAATGTGAAAGTGTGTGTATATACAAATATATACCTATGTTTGGCATCTATAATAAATTCAGTAAATAGAAGTAAAGGGTGATAAGATTTTCAATTATTCACATGTACAGGAGTTGGATATTCATTAACAGAATAGAGTGAGCAGAAGCTGCATACATGTATTATAGAAGTGATGTAGGGAGACCCTGGAGATTCTTCACCATTTCCCCTTATCAGCCATTTTGCCAAAACCAGAATATGAGTAAAGATTCCAAAGTTTTAAAGAGCCACAATGCACTGGACTGGAGTTCCTGCTGAACAGTGGCAAGCGTCCAGGAGCCACACGGGTGACCTTATGGGGATATGTTTCTGTGTTTAAAACCCATGTCTGAGGGCTGAGAAGTTGGCTCAGTGGGTAAAGAGGCTGCCATGCAAACATGAGAACCGCAGAACGGATACAAAGCCAAGTGTAGGAGTGCAGCTGTAATCCTGGCCCTGGGGAGGCAGAGCTAAAGACCGCCCAGCTAACTGAATCACAACAGCCAGGAGGAAAAGCTCTTGAAACAGCTGACATTGACCCCTGACCGCCACACACGTGTGCACATCTACCCCCCAAAAACAGGTGCGTGCAAACACCACACACCACACAGGCATGTGCACACATGCACACACAGAGAGCTATGTCTTCTAAGGATAACGATGTCTGCGGAAAGCCATCTAACAGAGAACAGATGTGAGCCTGAGCCTGCACATTCTGCTTCAGCTTTCCTTCATCTGATCCAGAAAACCTTTCCAAAAATATACATGATGATTTATCCTTATCCAGATGATATTCAGCTCGGAGCAATTTGTAAAAAGCTTACAGCACACATATTGTGATTGTGTTCCATGTCCTCAGCTGCTTGGCCCATGTTACAGAAGGTATGGGGGTGGGGAGGGATTCTATCCAGCAGCATGAAAAAAGGGACACATCTTTCAAAGTCAGAACTGTTTATTCATATCTGATTTTATTGTACAGTCACCCCTTGGTAAACATAGGAGATTGGTTCCAGAATCCCCCATGGATGTTCAAGTCCCTCTTTGATGTAGTACTTGCACTTACTACGCTAATGCTCCTGTGTAATTCAGATCATCTCTACATGATTTACAGTGCCCAATACAACATGTAAACGGTGCAGGTGCATGGTACACTATCTTGCTTGAGGAATGACAGAGGAGGTGAAGGCTGTGCACATTCAGAACAGATTTTTCCAGAATATCTTGTATGTGTAATTGGTTGAATCTTCAGGTGTGGAACCCACAGATACCCAACTGTATTATGAACTCTGGAATTAAGGACTTTAGGAAAAACAAAGATTGAGAACTTCTTCCTCCTTTAATGTTTCCAGCTTTCATCTAAAGTTGATTTCCCTGTATTTTCAGCAAAATCATGTTTGTCTTACAAATTGGGAGCACGTCCCAGACGGACAGCTGCAACAGCGACCTCAGTGGCCCCCACGCCGTGGACAGGGCTGTGCTGCTGCAGTACAGCGTCAACAACGGCATCACCTGGCATGTCATTGCTCAGCACCAGCCGAAGGACTTTACACAAGCTCAGCGGGTGTCTTACAATGTCCCTCTGTACGTGGCCTGAAGGGAAATGCATAATCTCCCGCCCATTCCTGTGAATCGCTGGGTTGGACATGGGAGTTGGGTGGTTATTGGGTCAACGCCATGAACTCAGGCAGTGGCAGAGCCAAGACACCCCAGACCACCAACATTGTGTTACTATTTTCCAGTAGGTCCAGAGGCAGATAACTAATCAAGATAGGAAGGCAAGAGGATATGAGTAGAATACTAAATGCAAAGACACTGTGCATATTCCCTTCCTTTAAACAGTATTTCTTACCCTTTGGAAAACAGCAACCTTGAGTTGGAGTGACCATTTGGAAGTCTGGAGAACATGCTGCCATATCACCTTTGCTTAGCGTTGTTCACCCAGCTTCTAACAGAGCCTGTCACAGAAAGCATTTCATGTCTGTGGATAAACATGTTGTTTTTCCAGATAATGTTAGAACAAAGGGAAGGAGGGAGAAAGCTGGACCACTATAACTAGCCTTTAAGTTGCCAATAAAATTCCATACTGCTGAGAAGAGTACTAGGCGCTAAGGAAATCTGAATTCTATTTTGCAACATGCTCTTGACTTAGGTTAGCCCACTGAAGCATCTGAAATCTGCAGATCACCTACCAGAAGAAAGGTCTGTTTCTTAAACATTCAACCTCTGTGTCCTTCTGTCTATGACCCAGGGAGGCACGGATGAAAGGAGTTTTACTGCGCTGGTGGCAACCACGCCACAATGGGACAGGTCATGATCAATGGGCTTTGGACCATGTGGAAGTCGTCCTGTGAGTATCTGCTGTTTAGCATCCTGTGTCCGTTTCTGGCTTGAAGTTGCTTTGACCTGGCATGCTCCTTGATTCAGTAAGAAGTAGACCTGATGAGAAAGTCCCCAAAGGGCCACTTGTGGCTAACACTCTTCAGCAACTACAGGATAGTTCAAGTCAACAGTGAAGTCAAACAAAGCCCTGAATGTAGTTTAATGGGCTTTAGAAAACTTTGATACATAAAATGTTTATTTAAGGACTGGCAGGATTGGTCAAATTCAATAAAATAGAAGTCTCTGGGTAAATGGGAAATGATGTCTTATGCTTGATCTGGGTTGCCTTACAAAATAGAATGACTTCCTAAAAGAATGATCTGTGCTGGTCTATATACATAATGTTCATGGTGGATGAGCCCATAGTGAAGACCTATATCAGCCCCAGAGGCATTCTACATTTGAGGAATTTATTGTAACTAGAACAGAGAGTCTATGGTCTCACATTCCTTCTGACAATCCCATCGCCCAAGAGTTAAAGGTGCCCTCCCCCTTGTCTGTCCCATGTAGAGGCGCTGACACCACTCTCCTCTGGCTGGGTTGACTGTTCCCTTGCAAAGAGATGACTTGCTTTTTCTCTAATAATCTAGTTCCTGTAAAACTGGGATGCTTATGTCTCGACGAGTTCGAACTGGTGGCTCCAAGTTGTTGGCAAGGAGAGGCGAATCTTCTCGGTAGATAGGTTCAAATGTTCATTCTGTTTACCAGATCCAAAATGAAATCAGTCATGTGGCTGATTTCGGTCATTTTGAAAGCAAATTTCAATCATTAATTGGTAGGAAAACTACCGGATTTGTTTTCTTTCAATCATAGCCATGAGCTGAATTCTCCAGTCTTGAGCTAGCCCTTGTCTTAGCTGTCACTGAGGCACCTGCTTGCATGGCATCCATATCAATCCCAATTCCAAGAACAACCCGGTCCCCACACACGCTCCCACTGTGCGCGCTGCTGCTTTTGGACCACTTGCTGGGCTCTGCCTCCTCAAGACAAAAAAATCTAAGTTTACAGTAACAGTCAGACCCTTGAATCTAAATATGAGGCTGGTGTTTTATTTCGCTATTGATTTCCTCCAACTACATTATTCCAGGAGAGTAGAATAACTTGGGCTCTTAAAGACTGTAAACAATCACATATATGTGTGTGCACAGGAAGGAGAAAGAGTAATGTTCAATAGACCAGAATCCAATTCTAGAGCCATGATGCCCTGAGCTCTCTCCCTTTCATGGATGCTCAGAATCCCTGGGAAGCGGGCCTTCCTCTGAAGGAGTTGCCTCATCTGCACTAAAAACTGAGCATCACTCTTTAAAGTGCTTTGGTGTTTCTTGTGAATTGACCCAGAGTCAATAATCACATCTCTTTCAAGCCTTCTGCCAAGACAACCTGTATAAACAGGGCCTCTGGCGCCTGACAAAAAATCAGCTCCCCTAGAAACTTCAAAACTTTCCCATTCTCAACAGAAAGCAGAATGCTAAGTCTGTCCTTGACAGGAGCACAGATTCTCAGAATACCACGCATCTGATTAAATACTTTCCACTCCCGCCCATTCGAGCCCCTGTTGTCTCCAGAATGTACTATCTCAGTGTGGTGTAACCCCTTCACAACTGGAAAACAAAACTCAGTTCCCTGTTACCTGCTGCCTCAGAGGCTCTCAGATTTCCATCAGGAAGCCTTCCTGCCTGTCCCCAAGAGAACCTTCTGGAATACCTGGTGTTGGTATTAATTTTTGTAAGCAACCACCAGCATCATGATACTGACATAAGACAGAAATTCTTATTACATTCTGGAACTGTAATCTCTATTATAAGACTTCATTTTCATTCAGTCCCAGAGTTTTAAGATTTTAAAGACTTATCACTTGCCAGGATCTGCCTGCTCTGACCCTGCATCATTGCCTCAGAGCTTTAGGACGCTAAACCCTTGAACAATGAGAACACCAGCATGGGTGTGGGGTGTGGCAAAGCTTGTTTCACTCCAAGTCTTTCAGTGACTCATCGGGAAATTATAACTTTACACTTATACTACATAATAAAAGTACAGAAAATTTTAGAAACAAATGATGTATCTTTAGTGACATCTCAAAATTTGTTAAAATTATAGAAGTACTGTATTTCCCTTATTTTAGAAAAAATATATACTTCACAGAGCTCAATTCAAAAAATGAATCTTAATAGACATATTCCTAAAGAATTCTGTTTTAGGACAATATACTTTATATTTTTTTCTCTGTTCCTAAGATAAGATTTAATGCCACTATAACATTTCAAAGTATTTCCTTTTTGTAAGAATCACAAAAGTTTTAAGACAGTCACTAATATATACTTGGTAGCTTTGTAAGACAATTTATTCATTTAATGAGTATATGATAGAAAGTTCCAGATAACTTAGGAAAATAAACTATCACACCCTGTTGTCCTTCAACTCTGAAGACATACAGAATCTAGCTGAGGCTCATGTTATTCATAAATACTACAAAATTTATTATGGAAAAAATGTATATTTAAGAAGAAGTGTAGAATGTGTCCATAAAGCCTACTAGTGAATCGAATTTTCTTACTTGGCTATACTTCCCAGCAGAACCTTTAGCTGTATGAGCTAATAATGTTTATTACCTCTCCCCCATGGAGAAGGAAGAGTAATCTGGGGCACACACATGGGGGGACAACCTAGTTGAACATGCAGACAGAGGTGTTAATATGTTTTTGCAACATACATTTCAGTTAAATAACTTTTAGAATATATTTTCTTTTCCACATGATAATGCTTTAATCTAGCTTTAATGTCATAGTTTTGCTGGTATGTATATGTACCAAGGACAGATGCTATAAACCTCTAGAAAGAAAAGCTGTGGCCATGCATGGTATCTTACATTGAGTAATGTCCATACTGCCCATATTAACCAAGGACATGTGAGTTTGATGAGAACAAATTCAACACTTTGAAAAATGTTTCAAGGTAGCACTTCCTAAATAAATATGACACATAATATATTCTTCACTTAATGTTTTAATTGTAAAAGACTATATGTGGAAAGATTTGAGCATCATAAACATCTGACCAGCCTCAGACTACAAAGATAGAAACCTCCCTTTTAGCGTTCACCAAGCAAAGTCCCTGTGCTTGTTTGAGGATGTAATCCAGTGCAATCCAGTGCCAGTGAGACCTGAACATGGAAGCCTCTGCGATGATTAGCTCCTGCTAATCTGTCTGCACTGAACTGGCAGATCATTTTTTTTTCCAGCCTCACTAGTTTACAGAAAGATCTCATTCCATAAAGTCTAAATGATATAGCATAACACAATCATCACCAATCGGGTGAAACTCACTTGCTAGCATAGGATATTTGTTTCTCAGTAAATGTTTATGAAGACACTTGGGCAGATCCCTCACAAGATCCATGCTAGTAGGGTGCTTCTTAGGGTAAAAGAGAGTTAGTTGTCTCAACCCCTTTTGTTGGGCACTCACACTTCTATCCTAAGAATCTCCCTCACTCAACTATGCATTCCATTCACACATCACATTTCCTCTGTGCGTGTCTCAGTCACAACCTGTCATGTGTATAATGAACTGGGCTGATTTCTGCATGTGTACCTTGAAAGCAAATCACCAAGTAAAAAGTTAGCCTTTGTGAATTGAGCAAATTGTTGCCACATTTATTGAAAACTAATATGTTGCTAACTTTGGCTCTAAACACATTTATCAGATTTTAATATAAGTTCCATCATGACCATCCCCTCTTGCTATTCATCATCAAGATACTGTCACATTTTTGGCACAAATGATTTATGAAGATGAGCATATTACATTTGTTGCAAATCATATTTTCCTTTATTAAATTTGACTGTGTTATCTGATGTAGAAGACATCTCCATTAAAGCCCATTCCTTAATCTCCTCGGGTGTTAACAGTACCTAAAATGTAAATAATTGAAAACTCAGATAAAATTTACAGTAGATATTAAATGATTAATTTTTATGCTTTATATGTAACATTTATGCCAAATGTAGTGTTATAGCTACATGTACCTTGACATATGGTTATGAGCAAATATTGCATGTTGCATTACATTAAAAAGTTAAGCATATCTCTATATTGGGTATAGAAGGATAAGAAATAACGTGTTGAATTTTTATTTTCAAAAGAGATGAAAAATCCTATATTGCGCCTAAACCTGACCAGACTTTTATGACTAATCACAGTGCTGCATGCGTTGAGAGGCATTTTTTAACTTGTATTATATTTCATTATTTGCTGTCACTGGTTTTCTGCTAGAGTAAGGTAAGTTATCCTCACTACTCCTGGAGATTGTTTATTGTTCACTCTTCCAGTTTTACCAAAGCTAGCTGAGAATTTCTGTAGAAGAGCCTTTATGAGTGAAAATTTTCTAGAAATGCAGTTATAGACAATATTGGAATACATTGACAGGAACATACACATAAATTCAGCTAAATTAAGAGAAGTCTGGGATATATGCAATATTGGATGTAGCAGCATAGGCTGGGGTGTGGTGATCAGCATTCTTTCATTGGGCAATTGTGCCTGGCTCTGTATTAGACATCCTTGAAGTGCTCACAGTTAATAAACTCTGTATGAGAAGTGGAATTAGGAATGTACACAAAAGATCTCTAGTCTGTAGTTAATGTCTTTCAAAAGACCCGTTGGGCAGGGGATTTGTATGAAGGTGCCTTGACTTACCAATTTTAAGTTAATAATTGACAGAGTGGGGTAGCTTTACTCTTAACACTTGTGAGTTCTGGGTCATGCCCATTGATAAGAAGTCCTCTAATTCACAAATGTCGAGAGTTGAGAGTAAAATGGTTTGTTAAGATTTTTCATTTAATCCTGATGTCTCTTGAGGTGTGTGGTCAAATATCATCCTCATTTCCATTTAACAGAAGAGAAATTTGCAACTCCACTTATTGGTATGGATCTTTTTGAAAGTACATGTCCTTGAAATCGGGTTCACAACTTCCTCTGTGCCCAGTGATTAGTCTGAATGGCAGCGTCCATCCTAAACTCACCCAAATTTCTCTGAAATATACAACTATAGTCACTGGATTCTTATTTCTGCCTTCATATAAATTGTCATTTTTGTACATATTGCTGAAAATAATGAGTTACTGATCAATAAAATACCTAAATTTCTACAAGCTCAAATTCTTCTAATCTTCCTGTTTTGCCACATCCTTTAGAATTCATGTTTCAAAATCAGACTGAATTGTTTTCATAATAATAAATGAGCTAATATTGTAACTGTAAAAAAAAGTAATGGTTCAAAAGAGTGTAGAATCACAAATTCCTTAAAGATCTCACAATACCAATATTTTCTGTACAGAATCAGGTATGCATTTTCTAATTCTATATGCTATCTAGGTCTTCAAAATCCCTGAAACAATGGAAATTTCAGTCAGCATTATAGGAAACTGCTGCTCAGAGAAAACTCTCTCTTCTTTCAATGGCTTGACTTGAAGAATTATTTAAAGGACCTAGTTCTATCTATAACCAAAGCAGATTATCATGTCCAATGCTAGATTGTACCTCAAAACAGCTTAAATTGAGCTTACAATTAGAAACTCCTTTCTCCTGTGGTTGCAATGGAAAAATGAATCTTGAGCTCAGTTGCGCCTACTATGACATTATCTCAGATACAACTACATGTATCAAAAGCAAAAGTAAGTTGCCCACAAAGTAGACCAAAACAAAATTTTAAATGTGTTTAAAACTCATATGATTAAAACTGCTTTAATACACAGTCTTGTAAGTTGGACATTTTAGAAGACAGAGTAGCTGCTTAATATTCACTTAGGCTTATTAAATGGGCCTAGAATCAAATGACATTCTGTTATTATCATTCCCTGTGGTACATGAACAGGCTTATGAACTGTAAAAGTCCACCTCATTAGACTTCAGTGCAAATGACTCAAATTACTAGTTAGCTACCAGTACACTTTGAAAGTGTGGCTGCTTAAATACAATTATATAAATGCCAGACATCTGAAGCAGACACACTTTAATGTACATATGAAGAATCATGGTAATCCACAGATACATAACACGAACTGACTCAAAACTCCTATGCCCAGTGAATTAGAATATCCCCTAAATTAGTAAACCTCTTTAAAAACCTACCGCCTGCTAATATTTTTCTTACACATAGAGATGGAAGTTTTAAAGCAGTTCTATAATAAAATAACTTCATATAGAATTTTCTTTGACACTATTAGCAGCTTCAGTTAAAGTTAAGTATGTCTTTATTCTCATATATACAGGTCACAGCCACATCAATCTAATTACAATGAGATAACTAAGTATCTTGCTTGTTTGGGTTTTTGTGTAAAATATTTAACCATTTTAAATTTTCTTTGAATACTTTTGTGTTTGAACGTGTTTTGACAGAATAATTTCATTGCTTTAACTCTGCAATTATTCCTTATAGTTAATGATTTACAGCAGGAATCCAATCAGTAAGTCACCAAAGGTTCAGTAGCATGCCTTGACACCCACGGGTCAAGCAGGAGGTGCAGAGCTGTGGTTGGGGGTGGAGAGAGCTGGACAACAGCCCCATATTATCAGACGCTTACATGTGGGGAGCAAATACAGGAGTTCAGGTTCCGTTCCACAGGAAACGGGTGCTGTGGGAGTTCAGAACAGAACAGTCACTGCTGAGGGCGCTGTGAGCACAGCAGCAGACACACTGGAACAAAACCAGTCGAGGGTGTGATGTTAGAGGTGGCCAGTGCGGCTGGTGGAGACAGAGGCAGCTTTGCGTAGAGCAGTCTGCATTGGTGTGGATCAAAAGGAACAATCTAAACAAGATTCATCGTGAGGAGGACATGAGATGCATGGCATCACTAGTGTAGAATGTTGTTATGAGATGTAAGAATTATGGGCAGGTTTTTAATAAAACAAAGCCAACCTCCGAAGAAAAGTTTCCTGAGAGTGTATGCACGAGGCCTAGTACACATGCATACAATCTTACAGTTATCTTAGGTATAAATTGTATGTTTCATAGCATTTCAGTTTCTGTTCAGTGGAGAATGGAGATAGAGAGGTTGGTTTAGGGACCATTATGATAGTGCAGAGGACTCAAAGTGACCTCAGATGCTGGCGGAGGTGACCTCGGATGCTGGCAGGAAGACCACAAGTGCCAGTCCCAAGATGTAGTGAATAAATAGAACAACACTTTCTCTAGTGCTTGACTAGCTCAGTGCACTAGTCATTGTCTGTTTGCAAGACTTGACTTGGACGTCAACAGCAGTTACTGCTCACAGCAGCTAATAAACACGGGTGCACTTCCTTCATCTTTCCACTCTGACATCAGAACTGATTAACCTAGAGTAATGCACACATCACCATCATTTGCAAGCAGAGTGGGTGTGAAGGCTACCAGAACTCAACATCTAACATTGTTTTCTCTTTTTCTCCAAAATGTCTCTAGTGAATATTCATTTTGGCTTTGTAGTTCCCAAAATTTTGATAATACAGAAATCCTAAGTGGAAAGGTATTAGCACTTTACTTTTATAAAACATGCCTCAGTTTCACATCTGCCTTTTGTCAGGGTCTCGGGACAGACATTGCTGCTGTAGAGCTGATGTGCGATCTCCTTGAGATTCTTCCTGTAAATCTCTACTAATAACCAAACACCACTACTAAAATTCTCTCGTCTTAAAGTTTCTACATTTTCATAGCTAAGTATAGTGCCTAGAAGATATTGTTAAAAAGCATCATTTTATACCTTGCTAGTATAGTGATTATTGATAAATTATCCTCTCCCTCTACCCTAATTCAAGTTCCTTTTCTATTGCCCTTGATGGCAGAATGCTATCACTGATGTCATCTCTCGCCGCATGCCTGAGACCATGCATTCAAGAACTCCATACATTTGGAAGATATTGATAGCTTTGTACTCAAACCACATGCTAATGCCACATATAAATATATTTCCCTCCAGGTCAGGGTATGAAATTACAATTCTTACTTTACTGATGTTATCAATCATAAAACTTTTAAAAAATAGGTGAGAGTTGGGGTGCAGGCCTCTAACTCCAACACTCTGGGGGCTAAGACAGAAGAATCATAAGTTTGAGGCTAACCTGGGCAGCATAACAAAACCCTGTCTGAAAAATGGAAAATACCATCCAAAGCATTAGCAACTGTCACCGAAACTATTATTTAGCTTCCTAAGAGTCCTGATATCCATTTTCAGTATATTTATCAGCTTCATGTATGGTATGTGTAGGAATGTGTGTGTATAGATGGGGAGAATATAAATGCACATCTATATGGTTATACATTCAGTTACACGTCCTTAGTATTTTTATGACCACCTTTTTAGTATCATGTCTCTTTCACCAAGACATGATTATTGAATATAACCCCAGGTGCTTGTTGAGATAGTGGAGCCCAGCATTGCTTCTTCCTTGTGTGCCCTGAGAGTGAACAAACTAGGAAAGTCTAATTATTCTGTCCCTAGGTGGTGAAGTCAGCATGATTTCTGAACTCTGAAAGTTTTCTAATGACTGTCAGGTTGCCTTGGGACCTTAGATCAGATCATGAATGCAGTGATGGGACTTACATGCTCTTTCTCCTTTCCCTCCCCGCCTGTGCCTCTCTTGTGATTTTTAACAGCACTCGAAAACAAAATTACATGATGAATTTTTCACGGCAACATGGGCTCAGGCACTTCTACAGCAGAAGACGAAGGTCACTTAGGCCACACCCGTGAAGACGCCACGTTGATTTCCCTTACAACATGCGATGTGTTCCTTCTCGTTGTTTTGAAACTCCTCCCTGCTTCCAGTATGAGGAAACATCTACGGAGGACTTGGCTGACAGAAAGCCCTTCAAGACCGAGTGACACCACTTCCCCACACTGTGAACTAATGATGAGTGGCTTCTCTGTGCATAAGTAAACGTTTCATGTGGTGCGTCCATGGAGATTGTGATCTGTTGTAATATCAGTTGCAGTGTCAGTATTAAGAATAAGAAATAGTTTAACAGGCAAAGAAGTTTAAGCACAAAGTTTTAAAGATTTTATGTTTAAAGTGGCATTTTAGCACAGTATTTAACATTCCTTGCTCACCGAGCTACTTACGTAGACGTATTTCAGCTTTGTGTCTTGTTTCATATGATTAAGTTGTCCGTGTCTGTCCTTTGTACTCTCCTCCACAGTGCAACACATTGAAACCATGTCTCCTTGCTATGTTGTGATGATTTGCTGCTGAACTATGATCTACTTGTATTCTGCAGGAAGTTAATTCAAACACCTATTCAGGATGATTGCTGTAAAGACACTGTTATCTCCTTTAATATGCTCTTTAACATGTATGTTGATTTAGCATCATTTTGTGGATAGTAAAAATGTTTGACCTTGAAATATTTTCTACTTAAAAATTGTGGATGAGCACCCTATCTCCCTCCCACAATGAAGTTCTGATTACCTTGTCTAAAACCATTTTTTCAAGTGTTCTGTGGCTATCTACTAACAGTGACTGCCATTTTGTGTCTGTGATAACAAAGTGATTTGTAACATGGTGGATGTTCTCCTCATTGTGTTCTCTTCATGGGTTGTTTTCCCTGTGGGTCGTATTCACACCTTCTGGTGAAGCCGAGTCACACCAGCACCCTGTAGCCCCAGCCTATCCATGAGGCAGGAGGCTGCACTCCAGGGTGAGCCATGCTAAAAGCCCATGCTTAAATAAAAATTATGTCCAAAATTCAGTTCAAGCTCGTTTGTATTCACTTAATTTTTATTGTGAGAGAGAGAGAGTGTGTGTGTGTATGGAGGTCAGGCAACAACTTACGGGGTTGCTCCTCTGCTCCCATCTTGTTTGAGTCAGGGTCTCTCGTTGCTCACTGCTACACAAGCCAGTCTAGCTGGCCCGTGAGCTTCTGGGGATTGTCCTGTCTCCACCTTCCACTTTACCACAAACACAAAGGGATTACAGACCCCTGCTGCCTCGCTGAGCTTTTGTATGGTTCTCAGGGCCCAAACACAGGTTCTCATGTTCCTACAGCGAGCACTTAATCCACAGAGCCATCTCAGCAGCCCTCATACATTTCTAATTTCTACATAGAAATGGTGAGCCAAATAATGTTTGGAAAAGATACCAAGTATTCCTACTAGTTTTTTGTTTCATCATTGGTAACAGCACTATGAAGCCACACTTTCAATTTAACCATGTTTCTTGAGTGTGTTTCTGGTGTGTGAGTGTCTGCATGTCCATGTGCACATGTGGAGGCCAGATGTCGCATGTCAGGTGTCTTCCTCAATCTCTCCACCTTATTTTCGAGGCAGGGGGCTGCCTGTCTCTGACCCTTTCCCATCACCGAGGCTCCACACAGGTCACTTTTACATAGGTCCTGGGGTGTGAACTCAGTTCCATGCTTTTGTAGCAATCACATTACCAACTGGGCCACCATTCTGGCCCCAACCATTGTTTTCTTCATTCAGCTTTTTTTTTTTTTTTTAAAACTTATCATTCTGTAATAGAGAATTCTGAAAATAACCTAGATCCCAAAAATTTTGTTAAGTGCTAATACAAGTCATGGCTCATAAGAGGTGTCCTGTATCGACTCAGCAAACATATGTTGTTTATCCTGTGCTGGGCACTATTCTAACTGTGGAGGCTTCAGTGGTAATTCACATATTACCCCTGCTTGCTTTTAACATGTGCCATTGGGGAAAAAAACATACTTATGTTATTGAGGGTATTTTCAAAAAGATGTTTTTCAATCTTGGGAAACATTTTAAGTTTAGAGGATTCAGCAATAATAAACTTTTCCATTATTTTGGACATCTCAAATGTTGAATTTAATTACATGCACAATGGATGAATTCCTAATGTATTAAAAAAAGAATACATGCCTTGGCTAACAGTGTCTTTTTAAACACTTAAATGTGAAATATAAGATTAAATAATGCAATAGGTAGAAATGAGACTCTTAAATATGAGCTAGAACCATGGTTTCAGAGGATATTTTCCCTCGTATGATGATCTTGTTTATGAATTTGTTTATTTATTGACTATTACCTGTAGCTCTCTATGGGAGGAGTGATAACACATAATATCTCTTAAGAAAATTCAGCTCTAGGGTTGGTCCACCAGCCAGTTCTCCCCGACCTCACCACCAGGAGGAGCTCTCCAGCATTGCCCCAGCTAATTCACCTCTTACAGCAATGAGCAAGGGGTGGGACTGGTTCTCCTGTTTTCATGCCCTCAGGGTCGGCTCTCCCACACCTACACCCTCAGGGCCAGCTCCATTGTGTTGTCCAGGAGAGACACAGAGGCCACTCTTCTGAGTGATGCAGCTGCTGAGGGGCAGGGACAGTCCTCCCACTCTATGACCCCAGGGCCAGCTCCTCCACCTGTCTCAGGCATTGATGGGTGGGAGGTCGGGGGAGGGGGTATCTCTCCTCTGCCCATGCTACCCCACAGCTGCCCAGGCCCAGAACCAGGGTTATGACTTGGCCCACCCCAACATCTACCCCATCTATGATCTGCTGGAGCACATGAAGGGACCTGACCTGAAGACCCAAAGCTGCAGGATCTCCACAACACAGGGCAACAACAGGATATCCAAGGAGAGTCCTAGTGAGGGCTCAGCAAAGACAGAAGCCAGAGGCCTCGAACCAGACCAATGACTCTTTGCAATGAACACTTGCAAGTAAGATATATCGACACAGCAGGTTACTGAATGACTCACTGTGTCACACTGCAGCTTCCATGACAAAATTTTCATTTTTTCCCATTTTTTTTTCTTTTCTTTTTTCTCTTAAATTTTGTTTTCTTAGATGGGGGGGGGGCACAGGGGCAGAGGGTGGATTTGAAAGAACCAGGAAATGAATGGGATCAAGATACATGATGTAAATAATGCACAGGATAAATAAAAAGGAAAAAAAGAAAAACATTGGTAAAATAGACTTCTTAATAAATCTAATAAATAAAAAATAAAGAAAATCCAGCTATATAACAGGGTGGTTGTCACTCCAGTTACGTGGGTGTGCCTGACTTTCCAGAACCTACACACCTGTAGACTGAGCTTTGTTCTTCTGGAGCACAAGCCTCTCACTTCCATTCTCCTCTGGAAACCACTGTCCTGTCCTGAGTTTTACTCCTTCTGATGCCATGTTAGGTGATATTTTTAAGTCACAAATAGAAATAGAAAGTCTGAACTTTGTGTGCTAAGAGCTACATAAATGGAGAAATATACTCTTCTTACATGTAGGAATTCTCATTAAGATTTCAACTCTACCTGAGCTTATCTCAATATTCAATACATCTTAGCCAAAATCCCCACAGGCATTTCTATAGACATTAACAAACTGATACTAAAATCTGTAAAGAACTACAAAAGAACAAGAAGAGCCAATTACTCTGAAAGGAGAGAAAATTGAAACACTACTTTACGTACCTTACTGTAAAGCCTGTGATCAAGACAATATGGTACTGGCATGAGACAGAACGGAGGACCAGGAAGATGGCTTAGTGAGTAAGATCACCTGTTCTGCAAGCATGAAGACATAGTTCTAATTTACAACCATGCTTTTTAAAAAGAGCTGATAATGGCTGTGTGTGCCCATAACCCCAGCAGACTTAGGAGATGAAGACAGTAAAGAATCCCAAGAGCTTGTTGGCCGGCCACTCTAGCCAAAACCAGTAAGCTTGGCAGTTGGGTGAGAGACCCTGTCTCACAGTAATAAGGTAGAGAGTAATAAACTAAGATACCTACCACCCTGCTCCAACCTTCGCATGCAATGCACACAGGCTTATGGAGATTTCGTGGACAGATGCCGACTTAGTATATATTTGCTCGGAAATACAAAGTCAATTGAGTGACAGTTCCAGCAAATGGAGTTGGCATAACTGGAAGGCCAGTTGGAATGTGAAATTACAACAAAAACTTATGCCATATACAAAAGAAAAAATTCCAAATGGATCATAGCCCTAAATGTAAAACCTAAAATTGTAAGATGTCTACAAGAAAGCAAAGCATGAAAATTCTGAATTGGTCAGTGACTTTTATGTGTTACATAAAAGGATAATTTATCAAAATTACACTTTTCCACTTTTTAAAGTGTTGTTAATATAAGTAACATATAAGCTACAGAATGAGAGGAAATATCTACAAAACATGTTTAGTAAAGAATTTTTCATCTAGAAGGTGCCAAGTTATTCTCAACACTCATAAATTTTAAGAACATGACACACTAAGCAAAATTAGGCCAAAGATTTTGCCACCTTAACAGTGTGTATGAGAGGAAAATTAACATGAGAATATATTCAATATTGTCAATAAAATTAAAACCACAATGTGATAACACTGCACATTAATGAGGGTTGATAAAACTAGAGAATACCTCCATACCAAATATTACCAAAGATATAAAAAGCCTGGAGCTTCTTCTCTTATGCTGATGTGAGAAGAATGCAAAATTATGTATTCATCTGGGAAAGTGGTTTTTCAGTGACTTAAAAGCTAAGTATACACCTTGTATGACTTGCCTCGTGCACACATGGTATTTACTCAAGAAAAATGAAAACTCCAAGTCGTTTATTGGTAATGAGTAAAGAATGATGCCAAGACGACTTATCATTCAGATGAAAATTGTAAACTAGGTCCTCAGTTTAAATTTAGACCATTATAGCAAACTCCAAAAGAAAATATATTAACAAGGACCTGGACAAGGGATAAAAATATTACACAAACCACACATACCACAAGGAAAAACTGAGGGGTGCTAATGGTTTAGATCTGAAATGCTTCCCACAAGTCTGTGTTTTGATAAGTTGTACCCCAATTAGCAGCACTGCTTGGGGGTGTTCTGCTGACTTTGAGGGGGCAGACCTAGCTGAAACCTAGCTGAAAGAAATGGGCCATGGCAGGGCAGGGCTCAGGAGTCTATTGTCCCTGGCCACTCTCTGCTCCCTGGCCCACCATAACACACACTGTTCTGTGTCTCCACATCACCATGAAACAATGAGCTGAAATAAATCCTCCTTGTTTCTGTGAGTTTTTTGGTCACACCAATGCACAGGTAACTAGTATAGAAAATTAGTATCAGTAATGGGGTCATTGCTTTGAGTAAACATGGCAAAGCTGGAGGCATCACAATACCTGATCTCAAATTGTACTACAGAACCACAGTGACAGAAGCACACATTACTGGCACAGACACAGCCATGTAGGGCAATGACACAGAGGACCCAGAAATAAAGCACAGTGCTACACCCTCTGATATTTGACAAGGTATTTGTTCTAGTTTGCTTCTCTGCTTCATTGGCAAAACAGACCAAAACCAAGTTGGGGAGGAAAAGGTTTGACTTACAGGTTATACAGTTCATCATGGAGGGAAGCCGAGGCAGAGACAAGGCAGGAACTGGAGGCAGGAACTGAGGCAGAGACCATGGAGGAGTGCTGCATATTGTCTTGCTCCCACTAGCTTGCTCATCTTCTTTTCTTATACAATCCAGGCCCAACTTGCCCAGAGAGGGCACCACCACGATGACCCACACCCTTCTTCATAAGAAAATGCCCTCACAGACATGTCCATGTGCCAATCTGATAGAAGCAATTCCTCAGTTGAATTTCCCTCTTCCTAGATGACTCTAGCCTGTATCTAGTTGGCAAAAATTAACCAGCACAACTGACCCCTTGTCACCTTGACACACAAACACATCACTATTAAGCCACAATTACATATCACATACTAATATTAA